AGGGTTAAGTGTTATTTATCCCATATTTGATGGTAATTTTTCTATATGATCATTAAAAAAAATTGTTGGGAATGCTCTTTTCGGCCCCCTCGGTGAAAAACTAAATATTATCGAAACAAAATCCACTCTAGTAGTTATTAAGGACCCTTAATATTTGAGGAAAAGAAAAATAGATTTTGAATGGTTAGTTAGTTACGATAGAGGTCTCCGACACAAGAACATAATAAAATAAAGGGGTAATATGCTAGGAGTCCCTCAAACTAAACCTAATTTGAACTAAATGACAAGTTCAAATTCATTCTTTTAATTAAATCATTAATTTAAAATAATATATGAGCCACATGCCTAATTTTTTTTATATCCCAATCTTGCCCTTATACCCTAAATCCCCTAACCTACATATATTCACGTTTTTTTATTCAGATTTATTTATTCTTTCGGTATTCTCTCCGTTCTCTCTCTCACACGTTCTCTCCCTCTCACACGTTCTCTTTCGTTTTTTTTCTCTATCACCTTTCCATCTCTATATCTCTCTTGCTTTCTTCTCCAGTTGTAGCACAAGGCAAAGGACTGTGGTGCACGAGGTGGCAGCGGGGGGTCGTGGTGGTGGAGGTGGCGGGGGGCTTTGATAGTCGATGCGAGCCGGGGCTGACCCGCCATAGTGGTCGAGGCGGCGACGGGGGCTGTCCTGCTATGGTGGTTGTAGCAGCCGTGGCGGGGGCTGTGGAGGTCGATGGCAATGGGGCTGTCCCGCTATGGTGGTTGTGGCGGCCGTGGGGGGCTGTGGAGGTCGATGAAGCGGTGAGGGATGTGGTTATGGTGGAAATTTAATTGAAAGTATATTCTTTACTAATTGCCTCTGATTTTCTTGATCTTCAAGAAATTTTGTTTGATTTGGGTTAAAAATAGTAAATCAAGGTTTTCTCAATGTCGATAGTTGACTATGGTTGCGACGGCTGCGAAGGTAGGGGGCTAGGGTTTGACGGCTAGGGTTTGACGGCTAGGGTTGGTGAGATTTGTGTTGTTGGCTGCTAGGGTTTTGTAGTACACCGAAGTAGATCATAATACACCACAGTATACTATAGTCTACTACAATATTAAAAAAAAAAAGATTAAATTAAAAAAATTAAAAAAAAATGTAATTTGAATTTAAAAAAACGAAAAACAGTGTAGAAAAAGTGATTTTTTTATATTAATACTTTAATTTATAATACAACAGTGTACCATAGTATATCATAGTACACCATAGTAGTTTTTAAAATCTGCTTTATTTTTAATAAAAACGAGAAAAAAAATTCGTAATTTTAAATCAAAAAAACGGAAAAAAATATTTTGTTTATAATAATGTAAAAAAATGATAAAGTAAAAAACAATAAAATAAAAATGAGTAAAAGGGCATTTTTTGAATGAATTTAATAAATGATGTGAAACAAATGTTTAGTTGAGGTTGTCATTTAATTCTATTTAGTTTTGTCACTAGGGACCTAGCTCTTAAGACCCCTAAAATAAAAGTATTATATTTTTGTACAAATAAACTCATTCATTCAACATGTAATACTAAGAAAGGCTATATATCCTAATACGCATGGTAAAATTATCTTAAACTATTTAAACACAATTAATTCATGATTTTAAATTCTAATTCAACTTCAATTTCACCAATTCACCAACTTTGAATTTCCTAATACTTTTTTTGTTTTAAAATAAGTTTGTTTAATATTTTTTTATTAACCAGTCAACATAATAATTCCACTGTAGTATTATATATTTTCCTTTTTTTGCTTTCCGATCAACAAAGTGATATTACAATTTTGTGCACTGATATGTACTTTTCTTTTTTATGTATTGACCGGTCTCTATATTTTTTTTATACCTATAATATATAGAGACCTATTGTTGAGTCTATATTTTACGCTCAATGTATACTTTCTTACGAGGATTTTTGTATACTTTTATTGATTTAATGATGCTTAATGAGTGGTTTATTGTATTTTAGGTACAATTTGACGATTTGGAAGTTCCAAAGACGAAACGAGCCAAAAAAGGTCAAAACCGGGCAAAAACGGTAGAAAACAAAATATGCTGAAAATTGGCTGAAAAATGCCCGCGCGGCCGTGCCAAATTTAGCCTATTTTTGGCACGGCCGTGCCAACTGCAGAAGTTGGGGAAAAGGTTTCGGCAATTCTCGTGCGGCCGTGTGAGATTTTGACTGATTTTCGCGCGGCTGGAGACAATTTTGGACTTTTAATCACACAAGAAAACCTAGAATCATCTACCAAGTTGGGACATCTATTTAAGTGCAAACGAATCACGAATTAAAGGACTTTTGACACAACCTTGGAGCGAGAGGAGCGAGAGAACGAAGAATCGAAGACGGAATTGACAAATCTTCATCACAATTCTTCTTTTATCTATCTTTTCTTAATCTATGTCTTTTTATATTTCTATTATGTTTTTCGTAGACAACATGAGTAGCTAAGTTTTTAATCTAGGATTTTGTTGGAACCCTATGTGGGGATGGTGAACCCGTTTTCTTGAGATTATGATTTTATGATTATTTCTTATACTTGTTATGATTGTTAGTGCATGAACTTGATCGATTTATGTGCTTTATCTGTGATTATTGGGATTGACTCGACAGAGCTATTTTGATAATTAGACGGTAAGATAAGAACCTTCGAGTAGTTTTCACCGGATGAGTGTGTCAATTGCATGTGGTGTCGTAGACATACAAATATCACCTTAGGTAGCCATTTACGAGACTTGTTAGTTAATGTTTTATTCATAATTTGTTTGCATAGACATATAGTGAACCGTTTATGAATAATAGACTCATAATACACGCGACAGCGGGTTATGAGTAAATTAGTGTCTCGGGTTAATAATCATGAATCATATATTTCATAATTGAGGGGTTTTGGGTGAGCAATTCTTGCATAGGGGGAAGGCAAAATCCTACGTCCATTTTTATTGATATT